TTTTCTTTTCTTTTCTTTTCTTTTCTTTTAATAGCATGTTTGTATGCTTATGGGAATGATTCAGTAAGTAGGGGAAACAGACGTGCAGGAGGAATAGGGGGAAATTGCTGGAGCAGTGTCCTTGAGTTGGTGACAGGAGTGGGATCCAGTGCCCAAGTGGTGGGGTTCACCTTGGATGGGAGCCAGGACAGCTCAAGCAGAGAAAATGGGGGAGACAGCACAGGAGCATAGTGCTGGTGTACGGGTAGGTGCAGAGGTGCGAGCTTGTGGGGGGTTTTCTGTTTTGTCTTTGTCGGTGAAATAGGCAAAAAAGTCAAGGTCACCAGCTGAGAGAGAACCTCGGGAAGGTGGGGTTAGAGGTTTGAGGAACAAGAAGAAGATAGGAAATAGTCAAATACTCGACTAGGAGGTGGGAGAGGCTGTAGTTACTGAGCGGCATGGAGACCCACTTAAAGCTGGGAGCCCTTATTTAATGGATGTTTGATTTTCTCTAATCTGTTTCAGCCACATGGGTGCCAATCCAGAGTAGACAGAGATTACATTTACTCAGGATTGGGGTTTTACCTTTTGGTTTCTATTAATGCATGAGACTAAGCCATTACAAATTTATAATTTATTTTAAGCCATAATTTATTTAAAACCAAACTCAGAAAAGCCAAATATTTTAATTAGATAGCAAAAAATATTCTAACCACAAGGGCAAAAATAATGTTCCTTTAATATTAATAACCCTTTAATAGTTCCAGTCACAGATCAATTTAAACTTATCTTTAAAAGGGCCATTGTCATTTTATCCACATTTCCTATTTCAAGGAACACTTAATTTTCTTATGTTCTCGGAACAGAGTGCTTCAAGCGGGCCAGAAATCAGACCACTAAATATTTACTTTGTAAATAAACTTAGTTCAGCCACCTGGTATGTGTTTGTGTTCTATGCCTGGCCACCTTAAGATGAAGGACCAAATTCAGCAAATCACAAAACAATATGTGTTTTACTTGCTTTTCTGACTTGAAACAGTTTACATATTTTTGATTCTTTCTCTTCTAAGCATTTGCCTTTAGCACTCTTAAGCACATATGAATGATTTGTTTCTATTGGAGCACAGAGACTTCTCCGATAGTATGGTAAGAATCTTGACACTCGGGGCTAAAACTTCTAGCGAGTTCAGTTTAGTAACTGAACTACATTCTGTACTAAGTCAGTGCATGTACACTTTTGTGGTATTGAGCAGCAAGGCTAGAGGTGTTGGGACTTGGGAGGTTATGGGTTAAGAAGAGCCAAATTGCCCTAGCTGGTTTGGCTCAGTGGATAGAGCATTGGCCTACGAACTGAAGAGTCCCGGGTTCGATTCCGGTCAAGGGCACATGCCCGAGTTGTGGGCTCGATCCCCAATAGGGGGCATGCAGGAGGCAGCTGATCATTGATTCTCTCTTATCATTGATGTTTCTATCTCTCTCTTTCCCTCTCCCTCTCTGAAATCAATAAGCATATATTTATTTATTTTTAAAAAAGAGCCAAATTGGTGATTTCACCAGGATGGATGGAATTCAAGAAGTGAATTTATAAAAGACCCCATTCTGTTAGACCTCTTAAACTTTTCTACAAACTTTTCTTAGAATTCTTATGTTTCATGCAAATTCTATATTCTGCTCCATTTTAGCTTAGGGTTCAGAGCATGACCTTTGCAGGCAGAAAATTGAGTTCAGAGTCCCTATTTGCAACCCATGAGCTGTGTGGCTGGAAAAGTTACTTAATACTCTCTGGTCCAATTCCTGCTGTGGACATTGAATATGCAAAGTACTAAGTAGAGTGTGATACAGTTAATAAATGTTCAGTTTCTTCTAGGAATTAGTATACTTACACCCATGCATTAGTAATATAAAATAATTACTAAATTATATTACTAATTTAGCAATGTAAAAATATACTTTAAATGGTTACCATTGCATAAAATGTAAACACTGAGAAGTACCTTGTTAGATGGGTACCACTTGGGACTGGTATGCTCCTACGCCTGCAGAAACAGGTTCTAAAAGTGAGAGGGGTGACAGATCATCCTTAGGCCAAGCTGAGGCCCAGGGATGTCAAGTGGCCACTCAAATCACACAGCCAAGCGAACAACCGAGCTTGGATCAAAAACCAGCCTCCTGAGTCCCATAGTCCCAGAGCCACAGTTCATGAGTTTCAAGGGGTGGGGTGTGGAGGGTTATAGCCCCTTCACAAAGAATTTAATACCCTGGGAGAATCTGGCCTTGAATTATTTAACAATGTCCCTCACCTCTGAATAATACTACTACATTTTATTAGAAGACTAAACCACTGGCTTAGTTTTCTAATTCCAGTTCTCTCTCTCCCCCTTATTACCATCTTAACCATTTTTAAGTGTATGTTTAGTAGTGTTAAGTATATTCACATTGTTCTGAACTATCTCTAGAACATTTTCATCTTGCAGATCTGAAACTCTATCCATTAAACAATGACTCTTCCTTTGTCCCTCTCCCCAGCCCTTGGCAACCACTATTCTACTTGCTGTTTCTATGAATTGCCTATTTTAGATACCTAGAAGGAAATCATACAGTATTTGTCTTTGTGTAATTGGCTTATTCCACTTTACATATTGTTTT